GGCAGGAGAGGCTCCCTTCCTGCACCCTGCTGGTCCCTCGGCCAGCGCTGGAAGGCAGCCAGCTCTCCGGGAATACCCGGCTTGGCTCATTTTGCTGTATTGATGCTTGTGGGGCCTGAGCCCATGATGCAAAGGGCGGTAGCCCTCGGGAATCCCAGCTCCTGCATCTTGGCGATAACACACAAAGGGTTTCGTTAGGAAGGCAGAGAGGCTCCCTTCCTGCACCCTGCTGGTCCCTCGGCCAGCGCTGGAAGGCAGCCAGCTCTCCGGGAATACCCGGCTTGGCTCATTTTGCTGTATTGATGCTTGTGGGGCCTGAGCCCATGATGCAAAGGGCGGTAGCCCTCGGGAATCCCAGCTCCTGCATCTTGGCGATAACACACAAAGGGTTTCGTTAGGAAGGCAGCAGATGGAGCCCTTGAGCTGGCAAACGCCTGCAGGGACCCGGAGGAAGCTGGACAAGTACAAGCTATTTACCCCCCTTAAGGAACAGGCTAGTAATTGTAACCTCCAGCCTCCTGGCTCTGCCCACCCTGAGCACGGATCAATTCCCTCTCGCGGGAGACGGCTGGCACTGGATTTGCTGGCGCTGCATGTCTACAAGTCCTAGCCGGGTCCCTGGCCGGTAGAGGGGTTTGCAGCAGCCTGCCTCGGTTTCTCTTACCAATAGCTGCTGTGAAAGGGGGCCACCAGCTTTTGCACCGTCCCGGGGAAGTTATTTACATCAGTGACGAGGATCCCTTTGCTTTCAAAGATCTCGCGGCAGGTGCTGGGCTTCTCTGCAAACGGAAAAGCAGCCGTAAGAACACCCTGCGTGAATCGAACCCATTGGGTTTGCTGAGAGAAAACCGAGCATCACTTGGCACGGTCCATCGGCCGGCTCCTGGCTGCCTCCTGTCCGAGCGGAGCGGCTCGTCTGCACAAATTGACCCGTTCTGTGTTATTGGCTGCTTTGCAAATTTTGGCAGATTCCAGTTGAGCAGTCAATAAAAAAGATACAATATAAGAACGGACCAGCCTGGGTCAGACCAAGGGTCTATCTAGCCCAGTGTCCTGTCTGCTGACAGCGGCCAGTACCAGATGCCCCAGACAGAGGGAACAACAGGGAATCCTCACGTGATCCCTTTCCTGTTGCCCATTTCCAGACAAACAGAGGCTAGGGTCACCATTCCTATCCATCCTGGCTAATAGTCATTGATGGACCTAAGCTCCATGAATCTCTCTAGCTCTTTTTTGAACCCTGTTAAAGTCCTAGCCTTCACCACATCCTCTGGCAAGGAGTTCCACAGGTTGACTGTGCACTGCGTGAAGAAAAACTTCCTTTTGTTTGTTTTAAGCCTGCTGCCTATTCATTTCATTTGGTGACCCCAGGGCTGTCTCTAGACTGGCCAGTTTTTCCAGAAAATCAACCGCTTTTCCGGAAAAACTTGCCACTGTTTACACTGGCCACTTGAATTTCCACAAAAGCACTGATGATCTCATGTAAGATTGTCAGTGTTCTTGCGGAAATACTATGCTGCTCCCGTTCGGGCAAAAGTCCTTCTGCGCAAAACTTTTGCGCAAAAGGGCCAGTGTAGACAGCTCAGATTTGTTTTCCGCAAAAAAGCCCCGATGGCGAAAATGGCGATCAGGGCTTTTTTGCGGAAAAGCGTGTCTAGATTGGCACGGACGCTTTTCCGCAAAAAGTGCTTTTCCGGAAAAGCATCCTGCCAATCTAGACGCTCTTATCCGCAAATGCTTTAAACGGAAAACGTTTCCGTTAAAAGCATTTCCGGAAAACCATGCCAGTCTAGACGTAGCCCAGGTTCTTATATTGTGGGAATAAGTAAACACATTAACGCATTAAACAGCCTTGCAAAAGGGCCCCAACGTTTACCAAAGCAGACAGAAAATTCTCCTGCCCATCATTGTGATGAACGGCAATGAAATAATTCCCGTTTATCTGCTTGAGAAAAAAACCAAACGTACTTGCCCCGAGCCAGTGGAATGCTGGACACAGGTGCTCAGGAGGTGGGCGACCTGGATCGTATCCTGCGCTGTGTGACACTGCTCTATGCTTCGGCGTCTCCAAAGGCCGCTTAACGCTATCCCTGCTTAAGGCTGTTCTATGCTGTAATTCCTTCAACGCTTGTAAGGCCCAAAGCGGTGATCTAGGGTCTCGCAATTAGCCAGGCCTTTTTCACGGCTCCTCCTGTTTTCTACCCTCCTCCACTGGTCGGTGGCACAAGAAAAGACTCCTCCGTGCAAAGCTCACAGAGCACATGACGAGTCTGGGTGCAGGCTGGCGAGGCAGGGAAGCATTAGCACTAGGGATGTACAAGGTTAACCGGTAGGGGCTGGAACAGCTCCTTGCCTGCCCTGGGGGGGGGTTGCTCCAGCCCTGTGGGGCCCACTGGAGCAGACCCTGTCTGTGGGCAGCCCGGCTGCCCTCTGTCCACCACAGATTACACGCTGGCATCCCGGGCTGACGTCCCGCGCCCAGGGACGCTCTGCTGTGAGCACTGCAGGATAAAGCTTGTTTGGCGTAGTTGGTGCGGCGGCCTCCCTGCGCTCGGTGCTGTACAATCTTAAACCAGACCGTCCCTGACGCTTATTTAAGCTTTATCCTGCAGAGCTTGCGGCGCGTAGAGCCTCTGGGATTGTGAGCGGTTCCTCGGTTACATTTTCAATCGCATTTTCATACTCCACATCCTCCCATCATCACCCTTCTTCAAACAGACGCACAAATCATGCTGCTTTTCAGTAAAACAGCCGGACGGTAACAAAACGGGGACTCCAGGAGGTCTGTGCTTCTACGCTAGAGACGCATCCCCCTTATCAAGAGGATGCTCCGGGTACTTGCGTATAAACTTTGAGTTGACGAGGACTCAACTCTCCTTTACTCGCAATGTCAAAATCTGTTTGGCATCGACAGGGAGTGTTCACAGAATCCAGATCGCTGGGTAATGGGATGTTCCTGCTGTGGTTACCCTTTTCTCATGCTCAGGATGTTAAGCAGCCATTAATTTTCTAGTCAAGTAGCCAGCGGGGGCTCTTGTGTATTTCAAAGTTGGAACGTCGCGTGGGCGCTTCTGCTTCGAAAGGCACAAGAGCCCTCACGGGGAACTCTCGTACATTTCAAACCTGGCATGCTGCATGGAATCCGGGGGTCAGCTGGGGACGCCCCAGCTGATCCTGGGCTCCGTGTGGTGCTGCCGCTTTTAAGTACCCCCCTTTTTCTCCCCCCCCCCGCTTGCTGCCTCTATTTGATAGAGGCAGCAAAGGGGAGAGGGGAAAGACTAGTCGACTATCCTGTTGACTATCTGATAAGCATTTGCTTATCGGACAGTCGACTAGTCCTTTACGTCTCTCTCTCAGGCCTGCGCTTTGTGAGATGCCAAACAATTTGAGGGCCGGGACCGTCAGGTTTAAGGTTGTACAGCACCGAGCGCAGGGAGGCCGCCATGCCGACTACGCCCCAGGAGGCTACCGCAGAGCGAACCATTAGCGATGTCCTGAGCTGAGCTCTTACCTGCGAGGTACACGGCAAACCTAGCGCTGACATGCTGAACCTGCAAGTTCAACAAGCACTTGAGATGTTCGGACTTGGTGCCCGATTTGGAGTCGCACTGGTGGTAGTGAAGGACATCGATGGTATTCGCTTCCTGGCCCGATTTCAGGATCAAGTTCTTCTTGTGGGCTGCAGGATTCACCCTGTTGGCAAAGAGCAAGTTCTACCCAGTGAGCCACAGTGCCAGTTACAAATTCCAGACAGAGTAATCGTGGGCATTTCAGGCCTTTGTTCTAGACCATGCATTCCCAAACTGGCGAGGCGTGAAGAAATTCCAGGGCGGGGGAGGAGTGCAAGGTGACCCAGCCCCCACCCCATCAAGTTTTGCTGCCCCGGTCACTTCCTTTTTTTTTTTTTTTCTCAACAAATTTTGCTGCTATTTTTGGGGGGGGAGGGGCGTGAGGGTTTCTAAAAAATCAAAAAGGGGGCGTGATGCCGAAAAGTTTGGGAGTCACTGTTCTAGATGCTCATTCTTTTCCCTGGGACCTTCCTCCCTATAGGTCTGTATGCTTTTTAACCGGAGCCAAAGAAACAACATCTGACCACTGCTCAAGAGATCTCAGGGTGGCTTGTTATTGTCAGCAGAGGCCATGTTTTCTCTCTATGGAAGATCGATGTGGCCGTGATCGATCTTCTGGAGTTCGATTTAGCATGCCTAGTTAAGACCCACTAAATTGAACTCAGAGGGCACCCCTGCAGGTGGCCAGTACTCCTGCTTCTGCGAGCAGTGTTTGTTTTCATTAGCCTCCCACTGAGAGGACGCCACCAAGCTTGGTTTAAGGTAAGCCAACTCCGACTACATATTCTAAGTAGCTGGAGCTGCATACCTTATGCAGTGCTGTTGGGTCTAGCTGGCGTGAGGTCTCGTGTTACCAACACGGTAGCAGTTCTTGAGAAGGGCTGCTTTGGTCTACGTCTAGGTCTACACTAAAGGGGAAGGTTGAATTAAGATCTGCAATTCCAGCTACGTTAATTATGTAGCTGAAGTCGATGTACCTTAATTCATATTTCCCTGCTGTCCCCACAGTGGGAAGTCAATGGGAGCAAACATACCCTTCGGCTTCCCTTGCTCCTCACAGGAGCAGGGGTACCAGCTGCCAATGGAGGCAACCTCTGAATTTGATTTAGGGGGTCTTAACTAGACCTGCTAAATCAAACTCAGGAAGATTGATCACAGCAGCATTTTTTCTTTCCTGGAATGAAGACATGGTTCTGTCGATGTAGCTAACACCGACAGAGAGGCCTGGGAGTGCGAAACATTGTGCAGAATCTTTGGTAGATTCTGCAGAAGAGCCTGTGTAGAGCATGTCCGCCCCACAGCAGTGAGTCTCAGAGCCCCAACGGCACCAAAAATAGCAGCACAGATCAGTGGTGGGCAACCTGCAACCCACAGGCTGCATGCAGCTCATCCGGGTAAGAGACTAGCGAGCCCCCAGACAGGTTGTTTACCTTGTGTCCACAGGTACGGCCGCCCACATCTCCCATTGGCCTGGAACAGCAAACTGCACACTGCCCACAACTGGCATAGATTCTCCCACTACGGCTACAGCCAGGCTCGGAAACCCACCTGGTCCGAGCGAGAGCATCCATACGACTACGTTTAGTGCGGGAGCGGGAGTTCGAGTCTGTAACCCCAGGCTCTCAGACTCTCTGCCGTGGCTTTTGTTGTTGTTGTTGGTTTTTAATCACTATTTACTTTTCACTAGTTTTCCTTTCAGTACTGCTCTCTGCTCGGGCAGTGCCAACTGACGGCTCAGTTGTCACTGCTGAGTCTAGTAAGTTCCACTTTCTGGTCCATTCCCTCGCTGGGGAAGAAAACAGCAGGGGAATGTTCAAATCCACACAAAGTCTTTTCCTTTGAAAGCTGTCAGGGCAGCAATACTATTATATGGACTCTGTACACAGAAACCAACCCTTAACACGTCGGTTCTTACAAGTCGCTGACAGAGATGGGGAGATGGGGACTGTGTCTACACTGGCCACTTATTCCAGAAAATCAGCCGCTTTTCTGGAATAACTTGCCAGCTGTCTACACTGGCCCCTTGAATTTCCGGAAAAGCACTGACGCTCTCATGTAAAATCATCAGTGCTTTTCCGGAGAAACTATGCTGTTCCCGTTCGGGCAAAAGTCCTTTTCTGGAAAACTGTTCACTCAAGTCCCCTCCTTGTTCGTGTGAGTCTTTCACACCCCAATGGGGGGAGAATAATGCCACAAATATTAGCCAGGGAACTCGGTGGCCAGGGCAGGGACCACAAAGCACTTTCAACTCCATTTTTAAAATTGCCGAGATTTCAGGTTGACTTCCCTTTAACCTCAGTTTGTGTACAACTCTGCCTTTCCAAAGCTCACTCGAAGCCCAATTGGACTAGACAGTTTAAAAGAAATACAGTCAAGTCCATTTTATCGGAAACTGCTCAATGGAAAGTTGTACACGAATCATTTCCTTTTTCCTATCCAGTGGAAAAACCACAACCTGCTCCCAACGCTGAAGTCAATAAATCAAACAGTAAGGGATTGCAACGGCAGTTTTGCTCAGTAAGGACTTCAGCATCTGGCCTCATGCCAGCAACTCCGGTGCAGCATGAGTTGCTTTTTAATGGCCTAGACAACAGCCCTTTGTTTTCAGTGGAGCTGCAGTTTGCACATGTAACTGACTGAATGAGGCAGGTGTCCCATGGAAAGATAGTATGTGATCATTCAATTAAACACTTCCCTGCATAAGCATGTGGCAAATGAATTAAGGTTGCATCTACACATAAGAACGGCCAGACTGGGTCAGACCAAAGGTGCATCTAGGCAAGTGTCCTGTCTGCCCACAGTGACCAACGCCAGGTGCCCCAAAAGGAGTGAACAGAACAAGGAATCCTCACATGATCCCTCTCCTGTCATCCCCCTCCAGAGGCCAGGCACGCCATTCCTACCCATCCTGGCTAATAGCCGTTGATGGACCTAACCTTCATGAATCTATCTAGCTCTTTTTTGAACCCTGTTGAAGTCCTAGTCTTCAATCACATCCTCTGGCAAGGAGTTCCACAGGTTGACTGTAGGCTGAGTGAAGAAAAACTTCCTACACTGCATCTGTAGGGCGAAATAAGAGACGCAATTTGAGCTACACACATTGCGTATCTTATTTCAACCAAATTTCGAAATAAAGCGCTATTCCGAAATGTCCCTTAACCCTCATGGAACGCCAGTGCATGCCCGTGATTTCAAAATCTATTTAGAAATAACGGATGCGTTTAAAGACGCGGAATCATTATTTCGGGATACTTCTGGTTCCCCGAAAGAGCACGCTGTCTAGACGTAGCCTGATTCTGTCTTTTTCTAATTCCGGAGCATTTGACTTTGCAAGCAGCAGCTCTTTTCCTCCCATTGTGTGTAATATTATGTATGGTTTCACACAATGAGGCCTCTTCCCAGATTCCCCACTGGTAGCAGATGAAAGACGCGTTCCGGAGACGAGGAGAAGACAGGGCAATCTACTCAGGGTTCTGCTAACGAGTTGTCTGTCATCAAGCCCCACGTCACACAACAAACCAGCAGCACAACCCAAGAGCAGCAAACCATAAAGGGGACATCAACGCGAGCGCTGAAGCTTTGGGTGTATGCTGAGCTTATAACAGACGATTTTTTAATTTCTACTTGATTTACAGTCTGGTTTTAAAATCTTACTTATAAACGTCCTGGAGCAGGGCCTTGTCGAACAAAACATTGCTCACGGAAACAAGACGCACCATGAGCAGAATGTATAACTCTCGGCTCATCCCAGTAAAGGACCAAGACAAAATGTCCGATGCTTATTTGTATCTGGAACAGCAAAACCGATCTGCGGATATCCACATCCGTAACTGAGGCTCCCCACGGATTCAAAGCAGACATCCTTCTTGGTCCAAACCGGACTCAATGAAGACTGCGATGACAGGGTGTATTACTTAAACACAGCTGCTAAAAGGTACAAAGAAGGGCTGGAAGCTAAATGAATCAGATTGGGGCCCGGTCTACCAGGTGCTACCGTGCGGACTCTGGGGGTGTAATTCTAGAACACTCTGACATATTGTGCTCAGACTTCTCCATAGATCCCGCTGGAGTGGTCTTAATGGATGCATTATGCAATCTTTTTTGAATTAGAGCTGTCAAGACAAACGAGGAAGCTTGTAGTTCATGCCGGCAGGGTCTACAAGTGCAACCTGTTAGAGCAGTATTTCTTAAACTTTTTAAGACTGAGGAACACCAAACAATAATTTTTTTTTAAATGAGGAACACCAAGGATTTTTTTTGTTGAGAAAAAAAAAGGGTTGGGGAGGGAGTTATTGAGAGAAAAAAAGGTTGCCTGCCCCTTTAAGGGCAGCCATTTTGAACTCTGTTGTTCTCCGCGGCACACCCCCAACTGCCTCGTGGCACACCGCTGTGCCATGAAACACACTTTAAGAAACACTGTGTTAGGGTGCTCTAGAAATCACACCCCTGCAGTCTGCATCGCAGCACGGTGTACACAAGCCCTGGGAAATCAGCCAGTGTTGTCATTACTTTAGAATCTTAAAGTAAGGGATCTCAGGGCAGGTAGAACCCTGTGCGGCTACAAAATTTGTTTCCATAGATGAGGATCCCCGCGAATATAGAGCAGATCTCCACAAATCTGCAGGGATCTCGATACAAAATGTGCATCAGTATCAGCAAAAGGGAGCCGCGGATATCCAGAGCCGCACTTGTGGCTATAAAGCAGATATCCATGGATTTGCAAGGCTCTAATGGCAGAGTGAGTACTGGCTAGATCAGTGTTTCTCCACTAGTGGTACGGGTGCCCTTAGGCGTACGTGAGCAAAGTCTGGGGCGGTACGTCAACACAACTGAAATTTGGAGAAAACTGAATTTCTGTTTTACAGCACTTGATTATTTTTGTACTTTTTATGCCCCAAAATTTCATTGCCTACCCAGCTACAAGTAAGTTGTTTAAACAAATGTGTTGCAATGGTAGAAAAAAATGTTGTGTGTCTGAAAACTAGGTACTGGGGAGATATATATATACATATATATATATACACACACACACACATATTTTGGAAAAGGGGTACTTTATAAAAAAAAAAGGTTGAGAAATACTGGTCTAGATCACCCTGACGCATATTTAACTTGCTCTTAAATATCTCCACAGATGGAGATTCCACAACCTCCCTGGACAATTTATTCCAGTGTTTCACCACCCTGACAGTTAGAAACTTTTTCCTAATGTCCAACCTAAACCTCCCTTGCTACAGTTTAAGCCCATTGCTTCTTGTCCTATCCTCCAAAGTTAAGGAGAACAATTTATAGTACAAACGTTGTTATTTGGCATTCATAGGGAACGGGAGTTGCCGGTTAATCTAATGTGTTGTTGTTAGAACTTTTACACCGATTGTCCATGAATTTTTCACCGTACGCTCGCCATAGTTGCAGGATGGGTAGGATAATATCCAATAATGGTATCAGGGGCAGAAGCACGCCATAAACAAACTTTACTGCCACAAGTTTACAAACCGTTCTGCAACCGTTGGAAAATGTTGAAAAATGATGTCGGATGGCTATCAGAATGTTTCCAATTAACTGAAGGAGGAATGGTATTGCTCTATGACAGACGTTGGTTAACTGAGTTTTCTGGATATTAAAATGCTGGATAACACAGCTTGTACTGTACTTCTCAGTTCCTTGTACCAGCCTTTTATGTACTTGAAAACTATTATCATGTCCTCTCTCAGTCTTCTCTTTTCCAGACTAAACAAACCCAATGGCTGTGTCTAGACTGCATCCCTTTTCCGTAAAAGGGATGCAAATGAGACACATCGCAATTGCAAATGAAGTGGGGATTTAAATCCCCCCACTTCATTTGCATAAACATGGCTGCCGCGTTTTTCCGGCTCGGAACTTTGCCGGAAAAAAGCACCAGTCTAGACGCGGATCTTTCGGAAAATAAAGCCTTTTCTGAAAGATCCCTTATTCCTCTTAAAATAAGGAATAAGGGATCTTTCAGAAAAGGCTTTATTTTCCGAAAGATCCGCGTCTAGACTGGTGCTTTTTTCCGGCAAAGTTCCGAGCCGGAAAAACGCGGCAGCCATGTTTATGCAAATGAAGTGGGGGGATTTAAATGGGCAAAAAGGGGCAGCCATGTTTATGCAAATGAAGCAGGGGGGATTTAAATCCCCACTTTATTTGCAATTGCGATGTGTCTAATTTGCATCCCTTTTACAGAAATGGGATGCAGTCTAGACACAGCCAATATGTTCAATCTTCCCTCATAGGTCATGTTTTCTAGACCCTTAACCATTTCTGTTACCCTTCTCCAATTTGTCCCCATCTTTCCTGAAATGTGGTACCCCCAACGGGACACAATATTCCACTTGAGGCCTAATCAGTCCAGAGTAGAGCAGAATGACTTCTCGTGTCTTGCTCACAACACTCCTAATACATCCCAAAATGATGCAAAAAAAGCAAACAGTCCCCCACTGTTGACTCCTATTTATCTAACCCCTAGATCGCCTTCTGCAGGACTCCTTTCTAGACAATCCCTTCCCATTCTGAATGTGTGAAACGGATTGTTCCTTCCTAAGCGGAGCACTTCACATTTTTGTCCTTATTGAATTTCATCCTATTTACCTCAGACCATTTCTCCAGTTTGTCCAGATCATTCTGAATTTCAATCCTGTCCTCCAAAGCAACTCCTCCCAGCTTGGTATCATCTGCAAACTTTACAAGTGTGCTCTCTTTGCTATTATTTAATGATGGAGAAAAATACTAACCAGAACTGGAGCCAGAACTAATTCCTCCCTGCAGGACCCTTCATGATCTGTCTTTCCATCTTGACTGAGAACCACTGATGATAACTCTCTGGGAATGGTTTTCCAAACAGTTCATCACCCATGTTATAGTAACCCCATCTAAGTTGTATTTCCCTAGTTTATAAATGAGAAATTCATGCGAGACTGTATCAAAAGTCTTACTAAAGTCTAGAACTACCACAACTACTGCGTTCCCCCTATCCACAAGGCTTGCTACTTTGTGAAAGAAAACTGTCAGGGGATTTGACATGGTTTGTGCTTGACAAATCCCTGCTGTTACCTTGTGTCTTCTTTTAGTTTTTTACTTTCTTTGTAATGCAGCAGCCATTTCCATCTTCCGTAACTGTTCAGCTTTTCCAACGTTTTAGCAATTTCCTTCAGCTGACCTGCGGGAATGGAACATTTCAGGATGGAGTCAGACTCAAGTGGGGTCCGGCAAACCAGAAGTCTAAGCATTGCTGCCTCCAAGCGGTGCATTCTCATGTTCTAATGAACAAGCTGAAGGCCAAAAAGCTGAGCTGGGTTTTGCACTATTTTCAGGGGTTATCAAAACAGATGCATCTTTCACTTCCAGTTCACCAGTGAATCCAGAGAAGGTTGGTATCAGCCAAAAGATGTTACTAACCACTGTTGTTTGGCCTATGGGAAATCAATGAGTGGGAATCTCCACCTAGTTTCTAGCAAACGGAGGTTCACACCACAAAATGTTACCCCTGTCATCGGCGTGAGCTGACGTACATCGGTCTCCCCTGCAGGACCATGGACACTGTACTACCTTATTAGCCCGAGGGATGATCTTTTGTTGCCAGGGTTAAGGAAAGCCCATTTTGTGGGCAGAGGGAAGTCAAACAGATGCCTTTCGCAAGCCTTACGTTCAGTAACTAGAATGAAAAAACCTCTGGCAACTTGTCTCTTCCTCAGGAAAATGCTCCATTCTAATTGGCTTTGGGACTATCAGCAGTAACTTCTGCACCTAACAATGCCCAGGCCTTCCAGAGCCATAAAACGCCCTAGATAGCGCACAGGCTTCCAATGACTGATTACAGTGCCGTAACGACCACCCTCCTGCATCAAAGAAGAGTGATTTTCATGCGTATAAGGGCGGTGGGCGCAATTGGACTCACCTAACGTTACCGTTTCCAACACTTCGTCATCAGAGACCACAAACCCCCCCATGCGAAACAGCTCCTGGTACGTCTGATCCGTTACGTCCTCGGGGCTGTCCACTCCGGCAAACGTTACGTTTGGACAGTGCTTTAATCTCAACAGGGAAGGGATCTGTTAAAGGCAAAAGCATTCCTCGGGTACAGCACGCAGCTTTTCACCCGTTAGACTTCTCACCACATCGCCACGTTCTTTCTTCTTCCAGGAGATCCTGTGTCCCTGCTGGTACCTTGGGGAAGCTGCCCATGTCCTCCTGTTTTCTGCATCCCACCCCCCAGTCTCCACAGCACAGCCCCTCCAAGGACTCAGTGATCCCTGGTGCAGTGAGGAGGTATTTCCTAGCAGCAGGGCTGAGGACACCACCCTGTTCCCAGAGTGCTGGCGGCTTCTGGCAGCAATTCAAGGACGATGGGTTTGTCTCCACTGCACGCTAAGCCCAGGTTCTGACTCGGGTCTGAGCCCAAGACCTTTTGTCCACAGACACAAGCCAGTCGGGAGTCTGATGCAGGCCAGAACTCAGGACCCTGTCCTAGGGCCCTGCTAAGGGGATGGGCCCACATCTTGCTGTGACTCAGTCCAGGTTCTATCATCTTGCAGAGTGGATGCAGGCCAAGGCACAGACTGGAGTCAGACAGTCAGCTCGGTCCTGGGACCCGGGGCCAACCCTTTTCAACACAGGTTTGCAATGCAGGGTGGAGGCCTAAGCAAGGCCTTGGGAACAGTGAGCCCACAGACCTGGGCCTAGCGTGCTGTGTAGACACGAGAGCAGGCAGAGTGATCAAAACCAGCTCATGGGCTACAGTGAACTCGAGTGCGTCTGGAAAGACGCAGGTTACAAAGGGCTGAGACGCACAGAACCCGGGGGCTGGAAGAGACCTCAGGAGTCCCCAAATGCAGCCCCCTGCCCAAGGCAGGACCAACCCCAACTCAATCATCCCAGCCAGGGCTTGGTCAAGCCGAGACTTAAAAACCTCTAGGGATGGAGATTCCACCCCCTCCCTAGGCAACCCATTCCAGTGCTTCCCCACCCACCTAGTGAAATAGTTTTTCCTAATATCCAACCTAGACCTCCCCCACTGCAACTTGAGACCATTGCTCCTTGTTCTGCCGTCTGCCACCCCTGACATCAGCCTCTCTCCATCCTCTTTGGAACCCCCTTCAGGGAGTTGAAGGCTGCTCTCAAATCCCCCCTCACTCTTCTCTTCTGCAGACTAAACAAACCCAAATCCCCCTCACTCTTCACTTCTGTAGAGTAAGTCCAACTCCCTCAGCCTCTTCTTGTGAGTCATGTGCTCCAGCCCCCTAAGCATTTTTGTTGCCCTCTGCTGAACTTTCTCCAAATGCATCCACATCCTTGCTGTAATGGGGGCCCCAGAATTGGATGCTACTCCAGATGTGGCCGCACCAGTGCTGACTAAAGAGGAATAATCACTTTCCTAGGTCGGCCGGCAGTGCTTCTAATAATGCACCCCAATATGTCGCTAGCTAGAGCTACGGACAGGAAGGGTGTTTTGATAAATACTCTCTGGTCATGCGTTAGTTTCCAAGTGTAGACTGGTTTGCTGTGCAGCTCTGGAAAAGCTAACCTTGCTTAAACAAGGCAGCCCAGACAGCCTGGTGCCCTGCCTGCTCTGGAATGGCTTCTGAGGTCGCCAGCTAGTCTGAGCTCGAACGTGGAACAATGGCCGTGAAAGAAACGGGCTCTTTGCTCCTGGGTGTTTTTACAACTCCTTCCCCATGCACACTGCATAAGGATTAGGTTAGCTTTAAATGGCAACAGCCACAGGGATGCCATTACAGCTGAAACCCTGGCCAGGCGTCTCATTTGGAACCTATTTAACAACAGGGCGTGGCAGTCAGCAATGGTGTTTCCAGTTTTGGCACAAGAAAGGTGCTTCTGCACCTACCTTGTGAATATGCACAGAGATGTCCTCGTTTCTAATAATCACAAGCAGTCGGTCTGTCTCTGGGTGTTGTGTTTTACAGAAATTCAGAGGCTCGATTTCCGTGTGGCCGCCCTTCTTCAGTAAACTCTGAAACACAAAGACGTCATTGGAACAAAATCAGTGTTTGGATGGCCAGCGCTTTCACAAAACAGGCTCTTAATACGATTCCCAGCTGAGTACGAATGTGATGATTTATCTGCACCTGGCGATTTAGACCTAGGGATGTGAATGGTTAACCGGTTAACTGGTAAGCCTCATTTTCACCAGGTGAAGCTTACCGGTTCTGGTTAACTAGTAGGGGCTGGAGCAGTCGCCCCGCGGGGCCCACCACCGTTCATGTTTAACTGGTTAACCCAGAGCTGGGTTAGATGCGGCCCGGGGGCCGGATCCAGCCCCCCTAACACTTGGATCCGGCCTGCGGATGCTTTCTATTCATATCCTGCTGCCCATGCCACCGAATTTCCAGGCGGTGGTTCAGGCAGCAGGATCCTATTTAAACAGCTCCCGGCTCCCAGTTGTGGAGCTACGCAGCCAGGCAACTTTCCTGGGATTTTAATTCAAAGTGTCTGGCCCAGGCAACTCTGGGGGAAGGCTAGTTCCCGGCCCCACCTCTTCTGCCTCAGTCTCCGCCCCTTCGGGGGGTGGAGCTGGCCCATGACCATGTATAAAATTCATTGTGTCCCCCCTGTAAAAATTATTGCCCATCCCTAGGATAACCAGTTAAACGGGACTTTACATCCCTATCTGGACCCTTGAAGTGCTAAAGCCCAGCAATAAATCCTGCTTATTGATCTGTTATCAGATGGGTTTTTCTCCCTGGTTCTGCAAACCAACGAATATGCAGTTTGACCTTGTGTATTCCAGGGTTGTTTCACGAGCGGAGCAGTCTGAGTGGGAGAGAGGTGACTATTTTCCCAACATGCCTCAGGGGCATTTCTGTTTTGTTTCTCAAAGCATCTAAAGCTGAGCATTCAACTCTAAATATCAACACAAGGCTTTCAAAATAAATGTGCCACTTACTCAAACCCCACCCCAGAAAAGAAAGAGTAAGAAAAAGGGGAAAGCAGTTTGCCGTGGACTCTCCCTGTGCCAGCCGGTGTGCAGTGAGGGGTGCTTTAGACTAGCCAGCACCTACCGCATCTCTGCTCCGCTGCACAGCAAAAATCTATTTCCACGCTCTTAGATACCCTGGGAGAGGAACACATCTCGAAGTGTAATTATATGTGCTCTCAGCGAGGTGTGGCTGATAGCCACCGTTCAGAGAGTAGATGATCCAGTACTGCAAAAGCATTCTCGCTGATTTAATTTTACATTTTTTAAAGTTCCCTTGATAGACAAACTCAACCCCAGAATTGAGGTTAAAAAAAATACACCCAATCAACTACACAGAAAAGCATTTTATCACCACACCCTGGAAGTATATAAGAACATAAGAACGGCCGTACGGGGTCAGACCAAAGGTCCACCTAGCCCAGCATCCTGTCTGCCCACAGTGACCAATGCCAGGAGCCCCAGAAGGAGTGAACAGAACCAGGAAGTCTAAGGACACCATTCTTACTCATTCTGGCTAATAAGTATTGATGGACCTAACATCCATGAATTTAGCTAGTTCTTTTTGAACCCTGTTAAAGTCCCAGCCTTCACAACATCCTCTGGCAAGGAGTTCCACAGATTGACTGTGCACTGTGTGAAGAAAAACTTCCTTTTGTTTTAAACCTGCTACCTATTAAAGTAGGCAACGGTTCTGTCAGACTAAGGCAGTGTCTACTAGAGTTGGCTGGAAAAAAAACACACAAAATGTTGCACGTTCAAATTTTTTCTTTTATCCCACACTGGGGCAAAAGGCCAAAAAATGCAACATTTTGCATGGGAAGGGTTTTCAGGAAAAAAAATCTCTTCGGGGCTCCTGAAATAGAATGTTTTCGCTTCCTGGCTGCCTGACTGTAAGAGGCTTGTCAATTACCTTTCTGAAATTGTCAGAGCCTTCCAACCTGCCCATCCAAGAGGAAGCCTCAAACATAGCCGGACACCCCTCTAGGAAAGGTTTTGTGAGATTCACTGACCGAACGGGAACTGGACCACAGCCTTGCAGGCAGGGAGTGGAGAAGCCATTCTTCTGATTTTTTTTCAATGGAAAAGTCTTTTTTCCCCCTTCCTGCTAAACTAAAATTTCTTATGGAAAATTTTGTTTTGGTGAAAAGGGCATTTTTTTGTCAGAAAAGGCACACCTGTGGTGACTGTAGAGAAGGCACTAGCACATCTCACTGGTTTTACCACCCTGTTTTCTAGACCAGCTCAGAGCTGGTGTGGACAACCGGGCTACGTCTACACTGCCCTCTCTTGCGCAAACAAATATGCAAATGAGGCAAACCGGGGAATATCGCCGTGCCTCATTTGCATCATTAATGAGGCTCTGTTTTTGCGCAAGAGGCTTCTGCACAAAAAGGAGCCATCTACGCTGCTCCTTTTTGTGCAAAACCCCCCTCTTGCGCAAGAGCCGTTCTTCCGGAAAAAAAGCGTAGATGGTTCCTTTTTGTGTAAAAGCCTCTCGCGCAAAAACAGAGCCTCATTAATTATGCAAATGAGGTGCAGCGATATTCCACACTTCACCTCATTTGCATATTTTTTTGCGCAAGAGAGGGCAGTGTAGACGTAGCCCTATAGAACAGGTTGAACCTCTCTAGTCTGGGACTCTCGGGATCTGACCGATTCTGAACCAGAGAATTTTCTGGACTACGGGAGGTCAATATTGTCTAGCAGCGTTACCAACACTTCCACTGCTTACTTGGCTGTTGGGAGCACATTTAGGGATAAATGAGAGCTAAATAACTGGGAGGGGATGACCTGGAAGATGCGGAGCAATTCATCTACTTAGGGAGTATTATGGGCAGAGACGGAGGAACAGACAAGGAGATCAGTGCTCAGATAGGGAAAGCAACAGTTGCGTTCAAGTCTCTTTGTCCCATATGGAGCTCACAAATAATACCTGCAAAGACGAAACTGCGAATTTTTAACACAAATGTGAAGAGGGCGCTCGTGTATGGATGCGAGACCTGGCATACTAAAAAGTCTTCAAATCACAAGCTACAGACATTCCTAAACAGATGTCGGAGGTAAATCCTTCACATCAAATGGCAGGACTTTGTCACAAATGAGGTGCTTTGGAACAGAGCAGAACAAGACCCACTTGGCGTTCAAATCAAGAGAAGAAAGTGGGGATGGCTAGGCCACACTCTCAGAAAACCATCATCCAGCACAGCCCATCAAGGTCTCCCATGGAACCTGCAAGGAAAACGCAAAAGAGGAAGACCTTGGACAACGTGGAGAAGATCTACTGAGATTGAAGGACAACAACTGGGGTACTCCTGGAGTCAGCTAGACATTTTGTCTCAAGACAGAGTGAAGTGGAGGAGTATTGTAGATGACCTACGCTCCACTCGGAAACAAGGGTTTAAGAAGAAGAGCTACATAACAGCACAGGACACTGAGAGCCAGGACTGGTGGCTGTCAACAAACTTCATGGGACCGCGGGGAACTTGGCCACAGCCATGAAAAGTGGACATCCAGCTAACTAAAATTATTCCGGATGGCGGATGTTGCCGGACCAGAGAGTTCTGGACTAGAGAGGTTGAACCTGTAGTAAAGATGCTAGTGTCTGTCTACACTAGCTCTCCACCAATGCTACTGCCAATGCAGCTGAAACAAATTCCAGTGTCAACGCCCTCCACTGAAAAGCATCTTCCAGTAGCACACAGCTATCCAAAATGCTTGGACTCTTGGCTAAACTCGGCTGTCACAATCAGGTGCAATGAGAAAAGCCGGTTTCTCAGATTAAACAGGCATCAAACCTGGAAATGGTTTTTCAAAAGCATCATCAGCATCTTGAACTGCGATCAAAACCAAACAGAAGACACCAGAGCACATTGGGTTCTCTGTGACTAACCACCCGAAATAGTTGGCCACTATAATTTGCCCCACCTGAAATGTGATGAACCATGTCACCGGAGCAAGTAAGCAAGACCTAAATCTGAAACAGATGGTCGTCATTGTGCCAAATGCGAACCAAAAAAAAGGCATTTCAAGCCAGAGGAGACACCTGCGACTCTGGAACAAGCAAGAAGCCAGAACCATTCTTAATCTGTGGAGAACCATGAAGAAGATGAAGCAAATGCTGCCTTAACATACTTCCTTGCATACATATTTTTGTAAAAAAATGATGAGGTATACAAAAACTGCTGCTCCAGTGCAGTCTGCCAAACTCAACCCTTGGCCATCCGGCACGCTGTGGATAGCTCATTGTGTGGTTTGCCAATTTTCTTACCGTTATGAACAGAAAAAAATCGGAGGTGCCAGATTAGCCTTTAATGCGGGAAGTTTCCATCTTTTCTTTGGTCTCAAATGAAAATGAATCAATTACTGCTGATCCTAGTTCCCTCTAGTTTATGCATCACAAAACTACCGCATGGGTTTCCATATTTTGGTTTGAATTATGGCTCTAGAGAGCCAAAATGGGGTGTTACTGATCCAGATTGAAACTCTCTTGGCAGGAAGGCCGACAGAGTCACTGGGACTGTGGGCGAGGGGAGGAGCTGGCTCTATGCTCCTGGAAGGGGCAGAGCCTCAGGCAGAAGGGGCGGGGCTTTGCACAGAAGGGGTGGAGCTGGGGCAGCCCATCCTCAGCGCTGG